TCTTAAGTCATATAGAAACCAAAAGTAGAGTTACAAACTTGTTACAATAGTCTCTTAAAGTATGCAGAAAACAAAATGTGGAGTTACAAACCAATGTTACAGTAATACTAGCTTTTAGACTAATAATTATTTTTTTAATGTATTATTCTCTTAAGTCATATAGAAACCAAAAGTAGAGTTACAAACTTGTTACAATAAGTTTTATTTTTTTCCTTTTTGTCTTTTTTCGTGACCGGTAACGGGATCGCAACCCTCGGTGTCGCGACCGGCAACGGGATCGCAACCCTCGGTGTCATGCCCGCACCGCGCTCAACCAGTGAGTGGACCGGTCTCTATATGGGATCCAAACCCTCGGCGGGAGCGCCGCCGCGCCACCGGGCCGGCCCCAATAACAGTTTTATAACTGCCCACGTACTTACCTTTACTGAGATCTTTATTTCTTCATATGGCTTTGAGTTACCGTCTAATGTTCTTTCATTTTACCTTTCAGGATTTCCTTTAGCATTTCTTGCACGGTAGGTGTAAAGGTAAAAAAAACTTCCTCAGCTTTTGTTTATTTGAAAGCATCTTTATTTCTCCCTCACTTTTGGAGGACAGTTTTGCTTGATACAGGATTCTTGGTTGACAGTTTTCTTCTTTTAGCACTTTGAATATATTGAACCATTGACTTTTGACCTCCAAAGTTTCAGATATCTGTTGATAATCTTACTAAGGATCCCTTGTATGTGATGAGTCACTCCCCTCTGTCTTTTGAAAGTTTGATTACAATGCATCTTGGTGTTCATTCCTCTCTTGGCGTTCTTTCCTCTTTAGAGTATATTGTGTTCATCTACGCTTCTGAGTCCATTTTACTTGGAGTTCACTGAGCTTCTTGTATGTTTACAGTCACGTATTTTATTAAATTTGGGGGAGTTTTCAACCATTATTTCTTTAAATTTTCTCTTTGCCCCTTTCTCTCTCTTCTCTTTTTGAGACTCCCAAAATGCGAATGTTCGTCCGCTCAATGGTGTCCCACAGGTCCTTTAGGCTCTGTTCACTTTTCTTCAAACTTCTTTCTGTCTGTTCCTCAGATTTGATAATTCTATCCTCCCATCTTCAAATTTACTGATTCTTTCTTCTTGAAAGGAAAAACCCCAGCCCGAGCGCAAAATAAGACACACCAGGAGACAGGGACTCAACAAAAGTGTATTAGGCAGGCAAAATGAACAAGTGGGCCTGCCCTCTCGAAATTGGGAGCAGCAGCAGGGAGAGTCGGAGTGGGCCTTTTATATCCAGTCAGGCTGAGCTGGACTGTTCCTATTGGCTAAGAAGGAAGGGGAGGGAAGCGAGTGGGGTTTAAGCTGAGCTGGGACTTTCTCATAGGCAGGCAAAATTGCCCAAGGTGACATCGCAGCTAGAGGATTTTTCTGGGTGGGGCTTTCCAGGAAACTTTCTCAGATGCCCTTTTATGTATCTCAGTCTTTAACGCCATTTTACTTTTCTGGTGGAGGGTATATTAGCCAACACTTCTGTCTGCTCAAATCTATCTTTGAATTCCACTAGTGAATTTTTCATTTGTTATTGTATTTTTCAGCTCCTGAATTTTTTTTTTTTGGTTTCTTTTTAGGTTTTTTATCTCTTTATTGACAGTTCTATCTTGTTCATTTATCATTTTCTTGACTTTTCCCCCATCTTCCTTTAGTTCTTTGGGCATATTTAAAACAGCTGTTTTAAAGTCCTTGCCTAGTGTGTCAGCTCTCTTTTTCAGGGACAGTTTCTGTTGATTTGCTTTTTTTCCTTTCAATGGGTCATACTTTCCTATTTCTTTGTATGCCCTGTGATATTTTGCTGAACACTGGGCATTTAAATCTAACAACATGGTAACTCTGGAAATCAGATTCTCTCCCTTTCTAGGGTTTGCTGTTTTGTTGTTATTGTTTTTATTTATTGTTTTGGGGCTCTTTTTATTGTTGCAGGCTGTCTCTGTGCCAAAGATTAACCTGAGGTGCAAACTTAAGGTCTTTTCTGAGCCTTTCCCTGGGTATGCACAGTTGCTATCTAATTTTCTCCATACATGCAAGTGTTTTGTGATGTCCTAGTCTTTAATGTCTAACTCCCAAAAGTGGGGGGAAAAAAAATACAGCAGGAGGGTGGGGTGGGCAAAAGAGAGGGTGCTGGCCCTTAAATCCCCTGGAAATCACTTGAGGGGGAGAGTTTGCAACAATGGGGGAAGGTATAACAATGGCCACCCACCTCTTTGTTGTTAGCACTTCTGTGATCAGAAGTCTTTTTATTGTTGCAGGCTGTCTCTGTGCCAAAGATTAACCTGAGGTGCAAACTTAAGGTCTTTTCTGAGCCTTTCCCTGGGTATGCACAGTTGCTATCTAATTTTCTCCATACATGCAAGTGTTTTGTGATGTCCTAGTCTTTAATGTCTAACTCCCAAAAGTGGGGGGAAAAAAAAGACAGCAGGAGGGTGGGGTGGGCAAAAGAGAGGGTGCTGGCCCTTAAATCCCCTGGAAATCACTTGAGGGGGAGAGTATGCAACAATGGGGGAAGGTATAACAATGGCCACCCACCTCTTTGTTGTTAGCACTTCTGTGATCAGAAGCCAGAGTTTGGATGTGCTGTCCCCTCCAAAACTCATGTGGAACTCTGATTCCCAATGTGGCAGTGTTGGGAGCTGTTTGAGTCATGGGGGTAGATCCTTCATGAATGGATTAATGCTCTCCCTGGGGGAGGGGGCCTCAGTGAGATCTTGCTCTATTAGTTCCCACAGAGTTGGTTGTTTAAAAGATCCTGGCACCTCCCTCTCTCTCTCTCTTGCTTCCTCTTGCCATGTGATCTGCTTGTACCCTCTGGTTGCCTGATACTTTCTGCCATGAGTAGAAGCAGCCTGAGGCCCATGCCAGATGCACTGTCCCAGAATCATAAGCCAAATAAATCTCTTTTCTTTATAAATTACCCAGTCTCAGGTGTTCTGTTGTAGCAACAGAAAATGGACTAACACACAGGGGCTAACAAAAGATCCAATTAACATTTAAAGTATTTATAATATCCTGTCCAGGATATTCCAATTCTAGTAATTCCAGGTCTTGAAACAAGAAGAGGAAATGTGATGCGGGCAGAGCTAGGATTTCCTCAGAGAAAAAAAAATTTCCTCTATCGCTAAAGAAAGGAGATTCTGGAGTTAGAAGAATCCTGGCATTTGGGAGACTGGAAATAAAGTTACCAAGCAGGATTTTCATTTTAACAGATTTTGCTCTATTCAAATTAGCAATACCCTTTTAAAAATAAGTTAATTTCACCTTTTAGCTTGCAAAATTAAAAATGGGCATTTAATCCAACTGTCTCTCTCTCTCTCTCTCTCTCTCCCCCTCCCTCCCTCCCTCCCTCCTGGTTGCTTCCAACATATCACATTCATCTTCAGTCATCTTCAGAACAGTTTACTATCTTTTTATGTGACATAAATCCAAACACACATTTCCATACAAATATGAATAAAAATGTCCTCCCATATTTTGGATAGTTTTCTTAGTCTAGGATCACAGAAGTAAATGTACTAGTTTAAAAGTATGACTATTTTTATGACTTTTGAAAGAGCAACATTTATGATGTCCAGTTTGTGTTAACATTTCATTTAGTTTTGAACATTATTACCCATTTGGGGAAAAAGCACATTAGTTAATTGAAAGATACTGATAGTTAGGCACCTAACATGTAGGTGAATAATCAAGAATTTAAATTGTTTGGCCTTTAGTAAAACAGTTTAGGCTGGTTAAGCACCAGGGCTATCAGGCCAGTCTCTTAGGATTTAATATACCACTCAAGCTTTATGGCTGGCTGTATGGCTTTAGGCAAGTTACTTAGTATTGCACTGCCTCAGTTTCCTCATATATAAAATGAGGATAATAGTATCTTTCGTGGTTCTAAAAGTTAAATGAATTTATACCTTTAAAACAGATTAGTGCTTGACACATAGTTAAGAGCTCAATAAAGGCCAATTGCCTAAAAATTATATTTTAGCAGCTCTCCTGTAGCCAAGTTTAAAATTAATTTCTTCATGCACATCCTCCTGGAATGTCAATTCTACATAAAAATTCTAGAGAAATTCTTTTTACATTAAAGCAAACATGAGTTTAATGCAAATTTCTTATGGACAAAAGACATCAAATAAATTATTATGGGTTGCACCAGGACCCTCGCACCCTATTTGTAGAGTTTGAGAAATAGGATATCATGCAGCACATACCACATAGTTATATGTCTTTCTAAGCAAATAGTTAAGTATTTTAAACCCACTAGCAGCCTCACAGACCTCCTGGATTTCTGTTCTGGGATGCAAAGCACTTTTTCTCTTTGGGTACCCCTCCTCACTACAGAACTACCTATCACTCTTTCATCAACCTTATAATACTTGCCATTCCCCTGATGCACCCAGGCTAAGTATTAATAATCGCAGCAAACTAGCCTGGTGTCTCCCTGCCTTTGTATTTACTATCATTATTTTTAATAGGCTGTACGAACCCTGAGGGCGGAGGAATTCTTCCAATACATCTCACTCTCACGTGGGACTGAGCAACTGTTTACTAAATCCAGCAAATGCGTTTCAGGAATTGCCTTGTTTGTGATCAATCGGGCCAGCCGAGCTGCCGGTTTTTTCAGAAAGAAGCCAACTCGACTCAAGGCTCCCTCGCACAGCCCGCTTCCCGGGGGTGGGAGCCCACAGATTCTCGGCCGGGAGGGTCCGCCAGCCCGGGGACGGGGACGCCGGCTCCAAGCAAGCGGCGTGGAAGGGTTCTGAACACCACTTTGTCCTGTTCGATTTTCCAGCCCAAGTCAGCTTTGATCTGAGCGCTGAGGCTACGGACCCTAAACCACCGCGCACCGACGCAGAGGCTCCCCAGAGAGGGCGTCTGTCGCCCCTCACCACCTCCCAGCAGCCGGGGCTTCCATCGCCGCCGGGGCTTCCATTGCCGCCGCCGCAGCCCAGCCTCGCGTCCCGCCCCCCCGCCTCTCACCTGCGGCTGCGGGCAGCACCCACGGCGCCCCGGCGACCAGCACCAGGGTCGTCGCGCCTAGAAGGGCCAGCATCGTTCGCTGGCCGCCGCCGGCCCGTCAGTCACATCTTCAGTCGCCTTGAACGGGAAACCTCCACGCTGGAGCCGTCCCTCCCGCGCACGCGCGCGGGCCTTGGAAAGCTGCAGGCCGCCCCGCCGCCTCCTCGCGAGCTCGCTTTCCGGCAAGTGATTGCGCAGTCGCGGCCCACCCTCTCGTTCCCAGAAGATCGCGCCCAACCCGAGGCCTCCCCGCAACGCGGCGCGTTGCTACTGCGCCTGCGCAGACGTCGCAGTGCTGGAGTTCCTCCGCCGCTCTTGGCCGCCGGGGGGCGGGCGCGTGTCGCGCGCTTCCTGTCCTGCCCTTCCCTCCCACAGTCACTGATCTAGGGGCCTTGGCAAGCGGCCTTGGGAGTCCCCAGCCGCTGAATGAGGAAGCCGCTGAGCGAACCAGGCCGTTTCGTGTGTGCAGAGCGCTGTGAGCGAAGGATGGGAGCTCCAGAGGAGAGCAAAGAGACGTCGAGCGCTCGTTTTCGGGGAGACCTGGCCGAGGAGCGCGCGGGCCCCTTGGAGAGAACCGTGACAGCCTCTAGGCTTGAGGTGGTCTGCAGAACAGCGGTCTCTGAGCTTTTATGATCACCGACCTTATCAGAAAACAATTGAGCCCACCATTCAAATGGCTGTTTCCTTAAATACCTTAATAATAGATTATGTACATTATGAAAATAGGCAAAATGAAATTTAAAGGATGAGAGATGAAATAAGCTATCAAATATTTATAACAACTAAACTATTATTATCATTTACATGTTAAAATGAATGTAAAGAACAACGCGATTGAATATGCACAGCTGTTAATTTTCTAATAATTGGAAATCAGGATATGAGACCCTTCTCAAGGCTGTTATTCAAGGCCTTCAAGAACATCCCTCCAAGATACGCAAGCGCTCGACTGTCATCTCTCTCTCTCTGTTTCTCTTGCTTGCTTTTGTGGCGTACTTGCACTTTAGAAACGTGTACTTTATGGCACGTTGCCATATAATTATATGGCAAAATACCCACACTGTTAAATTTAACTCTTGTTTCTTAAAATCTTCGGACATATTTTCTATACATCTGACAATAGCATTGCTGACTAAGGAATATATTTTACTTTATCATCATGTTGTGCAAGAAGCACAAGTAGCATGTAACTTTTTGTCTTTGCTATTAAGAACCTCAAAAGCAGCTTCTACGGCCGGTCCCGTGGCTCACTCGGGAGAGTGTGGCGCTGGTGGTGCCGAGGCTGCGGGTTCGGATGGTCGGTGCGCTCACTGGCTGAGCGTGGTGCGGACGACACCGAGCCGAGGGTTGCGATCCCCTTACCGGTCATCTTTAAAAAAAAACAGCTTCTAAATATTGTCACCAATAGTTGTGAAATTTTGTAAAGAACAAGAGGAAATGAGCATCACAGAACTTTAAACACGCTTGAAAAAATTGTAGAGGTTTGCTTTTTTGGACAACGTTTTCCTAATGTTATGGCTTTGTACTATGAATAGCTAATGTGTCAAGGCTCAATATAATTTAGGGAGAGGTGAATGGTTAATGACAATGGGTGTGACTACATTTCACAAATAGTCTTTGTGATGATTTTTCTAAAGCTGACTCTTGAAGAGTCTGATAAGATTTTCATTGTTTTTATATCATCATATGTTCATAACAGCAATAGGAGATGGATCAATTCTGCCGTCATCTTATTCAATTCTGTGCTAATAATATTATCTTTAATTTACTTGCAGGAGTCTTGTCACATCCATTTTGTGAGCATTAGTTTAGTTAAAATTAGGTAACATAATCTGCAAACACATTTATTATGGCCAAGTAAATGGCTAGACATAGTCGCAAACTCCAGAAGTGAACAGGTGGAAGCATCACTGCTCATTTCCACCTTGTGGGCTTCCCATTCTGCTTCAGGTGTGTCACACATCACTGAATGTCACATCTGATCTTTTGACATTTGGACTAAGTGAAGGTGCTAGTGCTAGGCCATATATCAAATACTTGTAAAGCTTAATTTATTTCTTATTAAAGAATGCAAATAGGATTTCATTGCACCCCAGTGGACCCTTTATTCCAACACAAGCCCCTAGGGTGGGTACACCCCAGTTTAGAAACCACTGCTCCAGAACCTTTCAGAAGAATTAGTTCACTTCTTTCTGGGCAGAGAGGTTGATAGAGTAAAGTGCGGAGTCACCACCTAAGCAGCAACCCAGCAGCCCAGACTTTTAGGGTGTGTAAATACTAGCTCCAGGATGCTCAGGGAGGACTCTGAGCAATTCAACTCTGGAACCTCCAGAATTGCCTTTCTCCTTGATGCTTTATCATCCTACTCCTTTCCTCATCCCAGTAGACAGGCAACTAAGTAAAAAAACAAAACAAAACATATACATATATACATATATATATATATATGTATATATGTATATATATATAAAACGATGAAGCAAACAGTAGGAACATTTAACTAGTTGGTGGTAAAGCGTACAGACTGTGGCAGATGACCTGGAGCAAGAGGTATTTAAGTGGAAGTATAAGTAAGAGATCGATTGGAAAAGAAGAGGGGTACAGTGTTCCAAGCAAATAGAACAGCATATTTGAAAGTCTGTGTTCAGTGTTTCTTGAGGAAAGATTAAGACTTGGTTGCATACTCACTGAATACAGGGAAAGAAACATGTCTGTTTTAAGTGATACCAAGGAGGACAGCCACGCCCCTTCCCAACAGGTAACTAAGTATCTCTGAAACAGACACTGGGTCTACTGGTTACCAGTATGAGTTCTGAAGTTGACTTGACCTGGGGTAGTATCCCAGCTCCATCACTCTGGGACCTTGGGCAAGTTATTTAATCTTGTTTCCTTCTGGGGACCAAAAAGTATGTATGTCATAGTGGTGTGATGAGGTTTAAGTTAATTAGTGCTTGTAAAAAGCTTAGTGTAGGGTCTGACACGTGATGCTCAATAAATTCTGGCTATTTTTTGCTGACCATTGTGGTTATTGTTTTTCCTCCTTTAGAAGGGCATGGGGGATGATCTAGTTTTGCTAGAGAAAACCTGAAGGATCACATAACCCCAATGATGAAAACTTCATAGTCTCCAACCTCAGTCGAGCTGAAATTAAAAACCTCTGTACTTACTTCAAATCTCTACCCACTACTTCTCTTCTCATTTTCAACAGATGTTGGAACAGATGTTTTCCCACCCAATTCCTACTTTCTTGGAAAACACAAGCAATCAGCAGATCAGGTCTCAGCTTCCCACCACCAAAACTTCAGACTTACCTACACCTGCATTCATTCTTTTTTTCCTTCTCTTATGAGGAAGATGTCCCTCTTTAAATTGAATGATAATCTGTCTATCTGGTTCTCTAGAACTCCTCTGTAGGGACAGTTTCCCAATGATTACCTTCTCCCATGACTTGGTCTTCTCCCTTTGGCTCATCGTCAGGAGTTAAACATTCTCAAGTCTCTCCCAACTTAAAAGGCATATCCTCCATTCCCCCCTGTATTAGTCTGTCTCTGTTACTTATAACAAAATACATGGAACTGGGTATTTTATAAAGAAAACAAAATTTATTGCTTCATTAGGAGACTGTGAAGTCCAAAGTCCAGGGAACACATCTGGTGAGGGTCTTTTTTGGTTGTGGCTTTATAGTAACGCAGGGGTCTCACGTGGCAGAAGACAGTGGAGCAGAGAAGGAGAGGCTCTCATGTGCTCTCCTTTTAAAGCCCTCAGAACCATGCCCCTGACCACCATTATTAATCCATTCATTATGGCAGGGTACTACAAACCAATCACCTCTTCAAGACTCCACCTTTCAATTACATAGTAGGATTTCCCACCCTCTTTACACTGTCAGAGTGGGGACTAAGTTTTGGGGAGACAAAAATCCACAGCACCTCCAGAAGCTGTCCTTTAGTCTCCTATTATCCATAGCCAAATTTGGCTACATTTGTCTGTACCTGTCTTTGTTTTCTCACTTCCCATTTATTCCTCAACCCGCTAAGTCTGGCTTTCTGTTCCTATCATTGTTCTTACTCCATTCTCACTAAGATCACTAGCTATTTTCTAGTATTCAAATCCATTAGACTCTTTACAGCTTTTACCTTACTTGACTTCTCAACAGCATTTGATTTCTATCATTCTCTGTGCCCTTTTTCTTGGGATCTCTTGATTCATTTGCTCTCCCTTCTGTCTCTGGTTGTTCTTCTCGATTTCCATTGCAAACTCACTGCACTGCTTGTGGTTTAAGTATTGGTGTCCCTCAATGCCTTGTCCTAGCACCCCTTCTCTTTTCATTCTAAGTGATGTCCCCTAGTGATCTCTTCCCCTTCTGTGAGTTCATTGGCTTCTTTTATGCTGATAACTCCCAAACTTGTCTTCAGTCCAGATCTCTCTCCTTTTATCCAGATTTTATATCTATCAGTGTATTGGAAAGGGAAGGGGGGGCTTTTATTCCCCAACTATTCTGCTACTCCTTTGAGGAGTTTGGCCTCCGGCCATAATCTTGCATGATCTTTCAGTCCTGATCACAGAAATTACAAAGCTTTGTCTGCTAGGCTTCATGGGGGAGGAAACTGCCCTCCCCATACCAGATTTGGTGCATAGCAGTGCCTCACAGTTTTCTAGAGGGATTTGTAGTCAAGGACTCAGGGACCCCCCTCTCCCCTGGCCAGCCCTGCCCATAAGCATATCTGCATTCCTAGCCAGGCACCATCATTCAGAGGCCTCCTTACTAGGGACTTAGGTTGAGGCACTTTTCTCTACTTTGATTCAGTATCTTTCCACTCCTGGTCCCTCTCCCTCTCCTTTCCACCAGTCCATAAAATCCATAAAGAGGAAGGAACCAATTCATCCACCTGACACTTCTTTGGCTGAACCATTCTGTGGGGGAAAAGGGAACACTGGGGAGCTGGTGCTCCCTTTTTGCTTCTTGCTTGCACTGTTGCAGTAAATGAATAAAGGTTTGATTGTTACTTTAATTACCACCCAGACACCTGATTGCTTAACAGCATTCAGTGGGCTCTTTCCATTTGAAGACTGTGTCTCCCTTTAGCTGAAGGAAATTTTCCTGTACTATTTTTGTGCTTGGGGTTCATAGAGCTTGTTGGATAGGTG